CAAGGAACTTGCAATCCAGAGGGAATACAGACTCCTCCCTCCAAATATCTCCTGTGTTCTTCCATTATGCATTGATGTGTTTATACTTTACAATTTGACATTTACTTTTAGCAAAATAGAAGATGACAATTGACTACATAGGGATTTGTAACTGGAAATGTAGTGAAATTATCACAACACATGCCTAAACAGGTGGGTAATTTCAAGTCTCAAGTGTTACTGCTTGCAGTAACACAGCCCTTGGAAAACCCCTTTAAGCATGTCAGACCAGTTTGTATAGAATTTTTTTTTATTTTTTGGAGAGGTTTTTGTTGCTTTGTACTTCCTTGCAGGCAGCAAGACATTTTGCCCCTCATTTTCATCCAGTTGCAAAGGTTATTGAGCTATGAAACACTTAGATGCACAAAAAGCATCAGAGGGGAGTTCTGGTTTTCTGTGATATGAAATGGCACATATGTATCCACCAGCCTGAGCCTACTTTTTTACTGGGTCATCAAGTTTTGTAATAAATTTTAGGAAGTCCCTTACATTAGCATGAATTCTGTCTTGGCCTTTCCCTCTGCATTAATTTGAATGTTCAAATTAGGTCACAGCTTAAAATAATTGAATCTGCTAAGATTTTCAACAAAATGTTTCAACTTTCCCAACTCTATTATTTCATCTCCTCTTCAAAACCACTGAAATCATATTGGAAAAAGATTCATCTAAATGGCAAGCATAAATTATTACCAGGCAGATAAGCCCATATAGCATTAAATGTTATTTAAGACAAACTATAGGACCTGCTTGTGACACACTGTGCCTGTTTGTCTAACAGTCATGTAACAGCAAGGTGGTCCAAATGAACTCGATAAATTTCTTTCTTAAACTCACAAAAGACCACATTCTCCCTCCCATAATTCTATTAGAGTCTACTGCTTTGGAGCAGATAAAAGAAGAGATAACCTCTCCATTCAGAATATAACATAGCAATTGTGCAGCTGATGATTGGAATATTTCCAGTGGAAGGACTTAATTATGGAACAAAATTAGTTTAATCTGACCTTTTTAGAGAATAATGCAAAAATAAGGGTTTTTTGTTTTTTTTTTTTTGTGCAAATGTCTTCCTGGAATAACTAAAATAAGGAATAATTTGGTTCACTTTTTCTACAACAGGAAAAGGTGGTAGGATATGATAGTAGTGTTCTCACAGACATAACAAGCTAAGGGTGTTAATAAGACAGCATTTGTAGGGAGGGATAATGTATTTTAATAGACTAGCTAATAGAGTTGAAAAAACAGACAAGCTTTCAGACACACAAGCCCTTTTCAGGAAGAGCAGTTTCACCTCTGTGACTCTAAATTGCTAGCTTAATATCTAGTTATTGTACTGATCATGTCCTAGAAATGCCACAGATGGCGAAATAGATTTGATATTTGTTTGTATGATATCTATATTAATTACATTTGGAAAGCTCCTCTTGGGACAAAGACAAAACATAATAGCACAATCTCTAATTTATTCTAAGTGGTAAATAGCAATAAGTAGTTGCATCCATTTATATTACCAGCCATGTATGTTGCTGTGTTTTAGAGGATTTCTGTATGGGTATTTAGTGAGATGGGTTCAACTACACCGAGGAACAACTCACTGTAATAAAAAAAAAAAAAAAAAAAAAAAAAAGCGGGAACAAAAAGCCTCATCTGTTTCGTCAATCGTATCTCTGATTTCATGACATTTTGAATGCTTCTGAGCCATGCTGATGATACTGCATACAAGGGAAATGCATGAACAGGTGGTGATATTAACAGGCTTCTTATGGTTCTGAAAAATGAGGGAGAAATGTTTCATGTCATGAAAGTCAACATCAATAATCATCCATCTTGTGCAGATATGGAAGTCAGCCAGTGTGGTTCTTGCTGAGGAGGCGTGAGATATTTCTTTTGCATCAGAGCTGTTGCTCTGGACACAAGTCATAATTCGTCTAATATAGATAAATGAGGCAAATATTACTAATACTTCCCTTTTTTTTTTTTTAAATAAACTGAAAGCTCCCCCTTCTGGCACATGTCCTGAACTGAATGCAAGTTTCCTAGTGTCTACATTCCCTCTTCTGCTCTCTGTTAAAGATCCTTTTGACAAAGAATTCTTTAATACTCACATGTTTGTAATTTCTCAATATTTCCCATTTTGGACTGAGCTTTGGGGTTTGATGTGAAGTCATTTAACAGCAAGGGAGTCTCCTGAAGCTTTACTTGCAAATTTCATAAAACTTCTTTGCTTCCCATTTTGCTGCATGTTGTGTAGACTACAGAAAACAACTCTTTCAGAAAGTGCTAGCATTTTTTTCTCTTCAGAGCGATCATAGTGTGTCAGCTATAGCCCTACCATCTATTTTCCTAATAAATGTCCTGAAATCACTTTAAGAAACCTCCAGGATCTTTTTAAACGGACATTGTAGCTCTGCTGAGTAGCAGAACCTGCATGAGCCCAGGGAACCTGCACGGTGCGGGGTGGGTGGAAGCAAAGGGTGACTTGTTTAGGGCACAGTTAAGGCAACGGCTCTAACTGTTGTCTTGTCCCATAGATCCACGTTTCAAGGAGCCATTGTCAAATTTTCCCGTAATCCCCTAAAAATCGATGCAGTCCCCTATGCACGTCATATGACGAACTGGTATGTCACTGATTTTCCACAGTCACATACTTCTGCAAGGAAAGGGGAAGACTGCCCTACTGCGTGCAGCTGCAGGGTCCTGTAGTTCCCATAGATTCCCAAGTTTTAATTTTCTTACAGTCGCTCGTACCATCCCTCAACTCCAAGCAGGTTAACCAAGGCTAGAGAAACTACTTAGGATGCTTTCACTAGATTTGCTGTCATAGATTCAACGACGTCCTCTATCAGTGTCTTATATCGGGTGGGGGTGAGAGTATTTTACAGGAGTGTGAAGACAGAGGAATGAATGTTTCTGTGCAGGAAGGACTGTATAAGGGCCATTTTTCCATGTGGACATGTACATCAGCTCTTCTTTGTATATAGAAGAAAGCGAGAGAGAATGAAGGAGAGTAGAATAAAACCCTCTCAACTCACTACTGAGTTGTGATAGTAAAATGAGACTGAATTAATTGCATTTTTGACTTCTTTGGTGGGCTTTCCATCAATATCTTAGGTCATCAAGATTGTATTTTCCTTTGTGGCAGTGATGATACTTTGCTTTTTAATGCACTTAAGCAGTAAATGTGGCAGTTTTCAGTTGTGAAATAGTGGTTGTTTTAAAGTCCAGTAGCAGAATAACGATTTACTACAGCTACACTGAATGAAGTATGCCCATTAGATTTGGTACATTAGGTCTGAAAGTGGGAGAATTGCTGGCCTGGCACCTTGTGCTGCTGGCCTGTTTCCTCTCCATGGAAACAAAAACCAGGCTTGACCTATGCAAACAAAGCTGCTTGCCCTAAATGTAGCATAGCGCAACTATGCAGGCAGCAAGGCCGATTAGGTTTCCGAGCGGTTTACAGTAGAGAAGGTCTGCTGGTCTAAATGTCTACACGTTTGACAGAATACCAGATGTACGCTTTCTATCTGAAGTTAAGTCAGGATAATGAAGTAACAAACGACACATGCATTTTATACATAGATACAGATACACACATGTACCTGGCTATATATATTGTTAAATGCATCAGTATTCATGGATATTTACATGTGTATTTCTTCTTAGAAGCATCTGAAAAGCTGCTTTTATTGTCATAATGAAACAGTAGGAGTCCTATGAGAGCAATTTTATGTTTTTGTCTGAAAAGCTACTGTAAACTTTTCTTTTGAGCAGGCTGTCTGCACCAAAGAGAGTTAGATCAGGTTAACTTGAGCTAGAATAGAAGACCCATTAATATCTAATTAATGTGGAGATAATTGTTTTAAGGGTTGCACTTCTGCACAAAGCATGTACTGAAAAACAGTCACATTGTCGATTTAGTGAGTGCTAAATGAGTTTCCTATGCAAATGGAGGCACTGAGTTTCCTCATAATGCTGGTATTGTTTAAACATTTGTTTATTAAGCTGAGAAAACTGGAAATGTCAACCAGTGGGATCGAAAAGCAAAGCAATGTCCTTCATCAACAGAGACTATCTCCAGAGTTTTTATTGTCCGCCTTTTAGAGTCAGCTGCTCTAATGACCAGAGGAACAGCAATAATAAATACCAGGGTACTGCTGTGAGTAAAGTGCAAAGTGATCGTTCCTTTACCTGATGCGCTCCACTGTTTTTCTTCCCAGATCAATAAAAGGGAACAATTCTTGTGCTTCCTTGTTTACCCCTGAGCTCTTATCTTTTTGATGCTAAAGAGTCACTGGAGCAGCTTAAATTGCCTTTATCCTTCTAATGTAGATTCAATTAACTCAGGTTAATAGATACAAGCTGGAGTCCAGGGAATTGAAGAGCTGCTCACATTGTTCAGCCCAGCCAGTCCCGTGACATCAGCTCAATTTTGAGGGGGGCAGCAAAGCCAATGGGGTTAAAAAAGGAAAGGAAATGTTGTTGTAAGTTAAGGAATATCTTCACCAAACACAATGTATAGAAAAAATGGAGTGATTGTCCGTCAGGCACATGGAAAGCTCATGGCTGCATAAAAGTACATGACTACAATACACAGTTCGCCAAATTGCTTACAAAAATGTTTGTAGCATATCTGTTTGCCAAATGTTTACTCTTAAACTTAGTGAAATCAACACAAAATCTTTAGGAGTTACTAAGCTGTGACCTGTTCCATACTGAGATAAGTACTTGGTCTGTGATGTTTCTTCATCTTCCCTACATTAACATATCATGGCCAAAAGAGTGAATACCAAAAGAGTTATTCTAGGAAGAGTGCAAAACTGCAATTTGTTGCCCAGTGAATACAGAAAAGGATGTAGTTACACGATACTTAACTCCATATCGTTTTGAAGTATTACTTAGAAGATTGCAACAAGATCAGTCAGGAGAACACTTGCTAACCCTTTCTTTTTTATTTACATTCACAGGGTTTTTGAGTACTGGGGACCAAGCAGCAAAAGGAAACTACGGCCTCCTTGATCTAATTCAAGCTTTGCGATGGACTAGTGAGAATATTGGGTTCTTTGGTGGTGACCCATTAAGAATAACTGTTTTTGGATCTGGTGCAGGAGGTTCATGCGTCAATCTGTTGACTTTATCCCATTATTCTGAAGGTAACCGTTGGAGCAATTCAACCAAAGGTATTATGCGGGTTGCAAATTTTGACAATTTTGGTGTCTGCATGCCACCACCATTAGTACTATGTGACGCTCTGTATATTCTCTTTGTTCCTATGAACTGTTGAGTTCAGCTCAATATTAAGCCAACTTTTTAAAGGCTATACTAGCTGCCTTCTCCCTCAGCTCTTCTGTGCATGTTTAAATTTTGGGTCACTTTCTTCTTTTTCCTATGGAGCTTTGTAGAAACACTTTATAGCAGACTTTTGAACAGCGTTTGCTCAGTGCATCATTTTTGTCTCTTTTCTTTCCTACCTAAGGGTGTCCTCTTTGGAAAACCAGTCAGTCATGCTCACAGTAGAAGAGGTCATCTATATTCAGTCAGTCATGAAAGGCATGTTTAGTTTATCATGAGGAGCAGAATTTAAAGAAAACTAAAATGACACAGTTTTTCTTTTCAGGCTAACAGCTGAAATACTTAAAACTATTATCTTATGTGAAGGAAACGAGTGCCTAGTTCAGAAATCTTTTGTCTGAAACTGCATGGATTTCACTTGCTGTCATCTAATAAAAGACTGGTTGAATGTTTTGCATGCATGATCCAAAATTGTCAAAGCATCCAAGTTGCAAATGGATTTTCTTCTATATGTTTTTTACTATTCCTTAACTAACACCTTTTCTCTCTAGTTAAGGCAGACAGCAGGAAATTACAAACATGCTGTTTGAGGCCCAAGAACTTTTTCCTGTGATTTTGACACCAAAGTTCTGTACAATTTTTCTCATTTGCATGGCTCTTGCTATTGATCACATTATTTTTGTCTTACTGTTTTCACACATTTTTTTCTGTATTGTTCAGTTTGACGAGGGGCAGCATACTGTGCCCTATGCATAAGATAGAATAAAATAATTCCACCGACATTAGAAGAGTTGCATTCACCCAAAGCCCTGATCAATGGAAAGATTTTCATGGAATGTCAGTTTGTTTAGACCAGACCGTACACTATTTTAAATGAGAAGAATCTAGCTTTTACATAAAAGTTCTAGTGGAAAATAGTCAGACCATGTTTTAAATTGTAGTGTATTTCCATAACTTAATTTCTAATGTTATTTTTTTTCTTATCTGCCGGCTTTTAAATATGATATATTTATAAACTAGCCTGTAAGAACAAGCTGTAAGCATGATGTTCATTACACTGTGTAATCTGGGGATCACACTGCACAATTGGTTTGTCATCAAAACTCACAAAAAGTAAATTTTGTCATACAGGATTTAGCTTAGGGCTGAATAACGAGACCTGGTTTCTCTTCCCTTATCTCTTACTTGATCTTGAGCTTATAGACATAACCTGACCGTAGTGTGATATGCCAATATCTACAACATCTGGACAGTCATGTTCTGCCTCTAATCAGCAAACTTTACACTATCATATTCTGACACATCTATAATTCTATCAGGAGCCGAATTTGTATGCGTGACTGATACAATTTGCCAACCTAATGGTTCAAAGGATTTGGAGGAGCTTAAGGGGGGAGGGATGTGTACTTAAGATCTAATTGTAAAAGTAAATTTTTCAGGTTTTTTTAAATGAAAAAAAGCAAAACCACGCTTCATTTAATTTTGGATTAAACAAAACAACATGCTGCACATATTTGTTATGTTCCATTTGGGAGTTATTTGACCCATCATTTAAAAAAAATATTAAAATAAAAATTGATCAGCTTGAAATAAGAAATGTTCTTGCAAATTTTCAAACGCTTTGAAATATCTTAACCTTTTCCAAACACTTTTGAGTCAAATTGTTAACCCGTCTTTTTGGTAAGCTGTAACGTAAGATGCTCTCTTTGCTTCCCTCATTTCCCATTGGAAAGATCACTTGGTAGTTGAGAGGAAGCATTCAATCTACTTCAAGATGATGCTGTTCATAGCTAGCCATCTGCAAGTGAGCAGAACAGCACTGGTCTTTAGAAAGTGCTCTGAAAATGTACATGAATAAATTCAAATTATTATTATTTACTTTGGTGAGACTTTGAATAGGAGCCACAAAGTGCCCACTGAGCATTTAAATCTTCTTTATATCACTCTGATGCCCATAAGCTGTAGTAATCATATACATTATCAGATAGAAATGTAGTTCCCCTTCCTGTATAATACCAATTTCTGCCGGGAACTATGTGATAGAATGGAAACAATTTTTCATACTGTTGCACATTTTTCACCAAATGGATTGAGAGGAGAGACATTTTCTTGAGTATTCTTCAAGAGAAGGAACGGTGTTTTGGCTCATTTAATAAGATAACTTTATGGCCAGTGAACTTGACCACTTTTAACTTAATCCTACATTTAATGTTTATGTAGTGCTTAGCAAGCCATGCTGCTTAGGTCAGCATTTTCCTAATCTGTAGCTTGCTCTTCTGTTCTTATTAAGAGTTATTTAATAAAGCAATAAAAATAGATTTACACAATATGCAAAAAAAAGGAACATTATGAAGTATTATGAAATACGTCTTTGTGAAAATTCAGCTTTGTCATTGTGTTACCTTTATTACAATGCCTAGGTCCTCTGTAGTAATTCCACTGACTTAGAGCTGCTAAACATCTGACCTTGCAGGCATGCAAACAATTTTTAATTGCTCTATTTTCAAGTTATTTCTTATTTTTCACTCATATGTTGCAAGGAAATAACATCTTGGATATGATTCCTCTCACAAATTTAGGGAGAGGCTTGAATTTACGTATTTCAATATGCACGTTTGAATATTTAAATATGTATTTCATATTTACAATTTCAGTCCCTACACCTATCTGATTTTGAAACTTTTGGATTTGGCCCTAATACAGTCTATAATGATTTTAACATTCCTCAGAAATTTGTTAAACGTTTCCTGCCAGCAGTGAATTCTAACTAACTTCTGAGTTATGCAGAGGCTGATACTGCAGTCAAATCTAAAAAGGCACACCTCTGACATCATTTACAGACTGTGGAATTTTTTTGATTTATGGTAATATGTTGTTAAGCAAACTAAAGGACATGTTTTGCATTGCTGGAATCAAATTCTGAGGTAAACTGAGCACCTTAACCCCTATTCCTTTGGTGGTAGTTTCCAGCTATTCATCAAGCATTGGACCAAAGATAGAAAGATACATCCTTAGCAAAATTGAGTAGGTGGGGCCAGATCTTACTTCTAGTTCTTGAATAGCTGCTCTGAAGTCAATGCAATTGCTCTAGTTATCCCTCAGCATAAGTAAAATGAAATTTTGACCCAGATATCTTATTTCAGTACAACCTACATATGCTATAGAGCATATTGTGCTACCCACAGTGAGCTACAGGAGATACAGTCCAGTTCAAAGAATTTTCCAGTGATTAGTGCAAAATATGTACAACTGAAATGAACTGAATGCATTGCCATGAAATGCAAACAATTAGAAAGTTCACAGGTGCTTAAATATAGGCTGAGTTTCTGTTGGACTGACATTAGAGATCAGCATTGTAAGAGAACGATTTTTCTCCTTTTTGCTGCGCAAGGTTTAGATTCAAAATCCCTTTTGGAACTGGAATTAGACTCTTCAAAAACAGTGGAAAACAGCAAAGGTGGCCCAACGCAGAAGGGAGCAGAAGAAGTGTGAGGACAGGGGTGGGTACTTGATTGCATTAAATTCATTGGAAAAAAAATTAATTAACTACAAGGCAGGGAGGCTTTCACTCATGATGTGCTCAAGAATACTTAGAGAAGGGAGAGGAAAAGTTATTTAAACAAATTTTGTTACTTCTGTGAGTGGAGTTCCTGGTCCAGAGTGCTAGTTAAACTAATATAATTCAAATTAATTGCACAGAAGTCTTTGGGATTTGCTAGAGGTTTATGTGCAGAGCCAGATCACTCTCTCTCTCTCCTAAATGAATACCTGAACATATGTTTAAATCTCTGAATAACAAGGCTAAACAGTCAGTGTAAAATATATGTCTTTTTTTTGACGCGTGATCACCATAAACCTTCATTAAAGAAAGACTCTGAGATAAAGGATCTTGACTCTTAGATAAATTACTTATAAATTTAACAGCTGCCTCACAGTTTGTCATCCAGAATATAAACTTTGCTATAATATAGAATACAAACGCACTGCACCTGTCAAGCCAAGTTTAATCCCAAACGGAACATGAAAAAGCAGTATATTCAGTTAATTTAAAACATAGTCATATGCATGCATGCTGCTGATGGCTTGAACAATATCCAGAAATTCAGTCAATTTCAGAGACTTGTTGGCTTTTTCTCTAACCTATTAATTATATTTAATGGTAGGATTTTTTTTTGCAAAGCTAATAGTATTATCCTACATGAGATAATACCACTTCTTTTTCTTCCCGAGTTCATTCTGAAAGTCTAATCCTCAGCTGCACTATATAGAGGTAGAATCATTTGCTTCGATTTCTGCACATATCACATTTCTTTTGTATACATTACCTGTAGATACAATGACAGTCCGATCTCACCATCTTGTGTATTTATCTATTACTAAGGTTTTTTTCAAGTATCTCTTTTGTTGAAAGTTTTCTGTTGTTTCAAAAAAAACTCTTTGAATCTTTTAAATATGTAGCTCTTTCAAGGTCATTTCAGTAGTTTTAAAATATTTCTCCCCACAGGACTTTTTCAAAGAGCAATAGCTCAAAGTGGAACAGCTCTCTCCAGCTGGGCAGTTAGTTTTCAACCTGCAAAATACGCCAGGATGTTGGCTACAAAAGTTGGTTGCAACATGTCAGACACTGTAGAGTTGGTAGAATGTCTACAGAAGAAGCCTTATAGAGAACTTGTTGATCAGGACATTCAACCCGCAAGATACCATATAGCCTTTGGACCTGTAATTGATGGTGATGTGATACCAGATGATCCTCAGATATTGATGGAACAAGGAGAATTTCTCAATTACGACATCATGTTGGGAGTTAACCAAGGGGAAGGGTTAAAATTTGTTGAAAATATTGTGGATAGCGAAGATGGCATATCAGCTAGTGATTTTGACTTTGCAGTTTCTAATTTTGTTGATAACTTATATGGATACCCTGAAGGAAAAGACATATTGAGGGAAACTATTAAGTTTATGTACACAGACTGGGCAGATCGACACAATCCTGAGACCAGAAGGAAAACATTGCTGGCTTTGTTTACTGATCACCAGTGGGTTGCACCAGCAGTGGCTACAGCAGATCTTCACTCAAATTTTGGGTCGCCTACGTATTTCTATGCCTTCTACCACCATTGCCAGACAGATCAGGTACCTGCATGGGCAGATGCAGCCCATGGAGATGAGGTTCCTTACGTGTTAGGAATTCCCATGATTGGTCCTACTGAATTATTTCCTTGTAATTTCTCCAAAAATGATGTCATGCTAAGTGCAGTGGTGATGACATACTGGACAAACTTTGCAAAAACTGGGTGAGTACCAGATAAAGAATAATCTTGTATACACACTCGAGGCCTAGCTGTGCAGTGCTTTCCCTTGGTTATCTGCCTTGGGAATACTTCTGTACTTGCATAAACAAGAATTGGGCTGGACATTTATGTTCTTTGTAACGTCCCTCCCTCAGCTCACTTGTTCGTTCTAGCAAAAAGAGGGAAAAAATTTCTTTGTGGCCATTCTGCATGAAGTAGTTCAAAAATTACTTTCCACATAAAAATAATTACGAGATCCCCAGAAAAGTGCAAAACCAAGCATTTAACATGTATGGGTAGTTAAAAATGCTTGCATTGATAATTAACTTTACTCCAGTACTGATGACATTTTGATCCCATGGGATAGGAAATGACACAAATATTGCATCAAACATCAATTATTTTGATCATGCATTCTGTTTTAAAATGAGACTTCTAACTATAAAATACATGATTCAGAACTTGAGAGTATCAGTGTTTTCAACAATTTTCTGGTAGTTCAGAACAATTTTCTACCTTCAGCCACTGGACTATTTTCTAAGTCTTTATGTGCTTTACTGAGTTATGCACTGCTGTGGTCTTTCTCCTCTGGAAGACCACAGATACTGCGTATGAACTGAAATACTGAGCTTTAAACTACTAAAAAAAGAAAAAAAAAGTTTAATGGCCTCTCACACGGATCTCTCAGAGACATTTGTCCACATCACGGCACCACCGCCAATCTGTCCTCAGCAGTAAAAATTTCAGTGTGAGAGATACTGCCATTTGGGGAACCAGGGAGGTCACTGAAGTCAAGTAAAAGTTGTCTATGTGTATAATGTTGTTTCTAAGCAATGTTATTAAGGCCTCTTATTTTAGGAAGCGGACTCTGCCTTTTTCAAAAGCAGATTGAAACATTAAGTATAAAATATTAAATTTATAATTCCTTTTGAAATACTGTGTAACATTTCAGATTTTCTTTTTCTTAGTGACCCGAATCAACCAGTGCCACAAGATACGAAATTCATTCATACAAAACCAAATCGTTTCGAAGAAGTAGCATGGACCAGATATTCTCAGAAAGACCAACTGTATCTTCACATTGGATTAAAACCACGAGTGAAAGAACATTATAGGGCCAATAAAGTGAACCTTTGGTTGGAACTGGTACCTCATCTGCACAATCTTAACGACATTTCACAGTATACCTCTACCACAACTAAAGTGCCATCAACTGATAATACTTTCAGACCAACAAGGAAAAATTCTGTTTCTGTTACGTCAGCCTTTCCTACAGCCAAACAAGATGATCCCAAACAACAGCCGAGCCCATTTTCAGTGGATCAAAGGGACTATTCAACAGAATTGAGTGTTACTATTGCAGTTGGTGCATCTTTGCTGTTCCTGAACATTTTGGCCTTTGCAGCACTGTACTACAAAAAAGACAAGCGGAGACATGATGTTCATAGGAGATGTAGCCCGCAGCGTACTACTACCAATGATCTTACCCATGCACAAGAAGAGGAGATAATGTCCCTCCAAATGAAGCACACTGACTTGGATCATGAATGTGAGTCCATCCATCCACATGAGGTGGTTCTTAGGACCGCCTGTCCCCCAGACTACACGCTAGCTATGAGAAGGTCTCCTGATGATATTCCCTTAATGACACCCAACACCATCACAATGATTCCCAACACTATACCGGGGATTCAGCCCCTACACACATTCAATACATTTACTGGAGGACAGAACAATACTCTGCCCCATCCTCATCCCCACCCCCATTCACACTCAACAACCAGGGTATAGCCAGACAAGATGAAACAAACTTTATTTTTTGATGGATTACAGTAGGTGATATTACTGAAGATTACTTGGCTTTCAACCTACAAGACTCTTACTATTTAAATATGGAGGAATATTATGTGAATATACATATCAAGAACTTTTGGGGTTTTGAAAAAAATGAATTGTACATATATCAAATGAACTTAAGAAACAAACAAACAAAAACAACAAAAAAAAAACAAAAACCCAACTGTTTGCAATTGCTTGAAGCAGTTGTCCTGAATGATACTTTTTCATTCACATTCAAGTATTAATTTTTTGAAGATTTAAGTTACGTAATGGAATTAGGCATGTGCAACACAAACAGGAAAGAACTATGACTGAAATTTAAGATACCTATAAATATGCACAAGGGACACACTAATGGAATGTCAGATAATTTTCACCAATTTTTATTTGGACCTGTTTTATTGTGTAGACCATATTTACATATTTGAATAAGTACACAAAGCACCAATGCTGTTAAGGCCTTAGAAGGGGGCTCATGCTGAAATCTGCCAGTCAGACAAAGAAGTTTTACAGCCTGGCAGGTACAACATTATCACATAAGTGCTGTCAGTATAAAAGTTGTGGGAATAAAGGAAACTGGATATTTTTAGCACGATGTGCATGATAATTTATATGCTTGGTGGCTGTGCTGCTGATTAAGCCGTAATTAAAATTCTTCTCATCCCATTGGAGTTTTTAATAGAAGCTTTCTCCATCAATTGGCACAACCTAAAGAAGATTTTTAAAGGGGGAAAAGTAATTATAGTAAAATATATCACAGTAGCTTCAGTAATAAAAGGAATTGCAACAATTCTTAAAGGTATTTGATGATATTCTAGGTATACAGTGGTGAACATTCGCTGATATGACTCCCAGAAAAGAATTCCGTGTTGTTCGTGTTCTTTTTCTTTTCCACCTAAATAATTGCGAACTTTAACATAACTGTAACTTTAATGGAATCTCCTTTGATGAAGTATTTATAATTTGCTGTTACAATATATTTATTCAGTTCAAATTGGTAAGGTAAAGTGTGTCCAAAGATGTAATTGCAATGATATTTTGCAGTATGAGGATGCCCCAATATTACCACTCTGATCACAGTTCTCAGTTTATTGTTTAAACTCATGTTGCATGTGACAAAGTTTACTTACAATACTTCAATATAAAGTTCGTTCCCTTTTTGCTATACATTAGCTTTGCCATTCAAATGAATTCACTAGACAGGATTGCAACGGTGTAGATAAAGAGGGTATATAGGGACAAGGAGAGAGCCAACAACTGGAAATTTTAAAATCTGAATACTATATATGTTTGTGTGATTTTAAATGAATGTTCTAAAAATCACAAAAATTTTTCATTCCCCTGTTGCTTTCCAGTAATTATATATGATGGTCCTTTCAAAATGTTTGTATATGTAATCAGATGTACATTTATATAAAAGAAATAATTGAGATGGACTTAAGAGCACATCCCTGATAAATACTTTCTCTCTTACCTGTACTATATTTCTATTAGACTAAAGTTATGTGATTTTTTTTTACATTTTTTCAAATTACTAGCAATTTTGATAGTTTGTAAGATAATGCAAAGAACTTTCTCTGACAAACTAACTGCAGTAACAGAAACATTTCTTTTCAGTTACTCTTTTTCAAGAATGAAAGCTTATTACACACAAAAAATTGTATACTACTTGATGGAAAATTACTTTGTACTTCTTGGCCATATTACTGGTCACTGAGTGAAATAAAGATAATCTGGATAACGAATATTATTCCAATGCTAAGAGACCTGATCTTTGCTCATTAAAGAGCTAAAATGTTTATTGCTGTTTTGTCATTTTTTAATGAAGTAATGGTAACTGTCTCAAATAAAGAGTAATATCTTAAGACCAGTCTGGTTTTTGAAGACATGAACAGGCCTTCTACAAATAAAACGGCTGCATATTTATAGGCCAGTCCCATCTAAAACCATTTTTTACAAAAATATGGACATTGTGAATCTATGATGTATTGCATTGTATTGCACACAAATCTCCAAGAGTTTTCAGGAGTAAGTTAAACATATAAGTATCAGGACTGAAAAAAGCAAAGGAACAGGCCTAATTGAAATAAATCTGCAGTACTGCATGACAGGAAAAATCACCTGTTTTTTACTGTTTGGGTGACTGAACTTTCATAAAATGGTTGCTAGAAAGTTCCAGGTGTTTACTAACAACAAGCACAAACTTTAAAACTGACCCTAAAAGCAAAATAAAGTATTACAATCTCAGTCATTTTATTTAGCTAAAAAGAATAGAAACGTATGTGTTTAATGAGTGCGTTTTACAATCCCCGGTTTTAAAAGAAGTACTTTTTGGTAGAAGTATAAAGAACAGTCTTCAAAATCCAGGGCGGTCTGTGTGCAATTTCTGCCTGATGTGGTTGTGCTTTTAGACTGTGACCTGCCAATGTAAACCAATAAAAAGAATTGTCTGCCATCTGATAATTATTGTTTAATAGGAAGATTGTATTTTGCTATGTTGATGAAACAAAACAGAAAAATACAAAAATATTGATGGCCATAAAACAAGATATACATGAAATATGATTTTATGTGCTTTTCTTAACTTTATCAAAACCAAAATAACTTTCTACTCTAGTTTATTTGTGGCCATATATCTATATATCTCTATATATACAGTATCTGGTAATTGTTTACTTTTATTAGTTACAAAATAAATGATTTAGGTAAACCAAGCATGACACTACACTTTATTTCTGTCAGCCAATAGTATTTTAAATGTGAAAGATGAAGGCGACAACACAAATTTTAAAACTCCTGTTTGAAAAGAGTTAATTCATGCGATGCAGATACTGTGAATGATATTTTAGTGGCTACTTTATAATTACAGCAGCTAGCTTTCTGAAAGTAAGATGGTGTCCAGCATTTTAACACAACATTAAGAAAGACCAAGAGCTGTTTTACAGCTGGAACATAATAAAAATATAGAAAATGGTTTTGGAATATCTTTATTATGCTTCATGGAATATCAGTTGGTTCTTTTCAAAATTACACATTTATCTGTTTGAGTTGTTTTCCACAGTAGCCTAAAAGAACGCAAAACTGAGTGTGATATTTAATTTCTTGTATCATCCTTGGACCACATTTCCAATAAAAGCAGGATATTAGTCAGTCTTTGGAAATTCAGTGAAAATATAAAAAGCCTGCATTTATTGCTTTCACACTTTTGTAAATATGTTTGCAGACCTTTTTAAGAAAATGTATTCTACCATTTTGAGAAAAAAATAACAATGGAATCATTGTCTCGTTTATCTATTAAAATTACAGGCAATATAATGTGCTGTGCTGACATTTCTAGGAGAAATAAAGCAGATAAAAACACATTTTGCTTAATGGTATCTCAGTTGGTTATACGTGGTATTCTCTACCCACCCCTCTCAGGGCATAGATGAACTAGCTGCATATAATGCTCCAATTCCTATATGTTAACAATAACATAGTTAATGTTTTTACTGTCTCTTCTAGATATGGATCCTTATCTTGCAATACTTTAGTTATTGGATAATTTGGTTACTGAAACACCCTGAAAACAGGGTGAATAGCAGTCTTGACAAATAAACATGTTACAGCTTTGAAGACACCACTGCACAGAAAATACTGGGATTTTTGCCACATACACTACTCCAGCCAGTATAGTGTTTGTCACAGATTTCCAGAAACATGAGTAAACAGGGAATTTTAACTTTCTGCACCATGCAGATTAAATACTAAGGTAAATGCAAGTGCTCAATGTTGAAGCGACACTGATATCTCATTGTGCATTCCCCACTGTTATTGATCAGTTGCTCAGCTGATGAAATTTTTTTAGCACCAGCTGAATTAGCATTTATCATAGGACCATTGACATCAATGAAGCTCTGACAGTTTATACCAGCTGTAGATCTGCTTGCAGACCTTTAACGTTCATCATGGCTCATCTCACCTTCCAGTTTTGCATGTCTCCTCACACACGCACACTCACAGAATTACTACAAATATAACTACTGATCAATGAGCACTATCAGGTGCTAAAATGTGCATATAGTTATTTGTATGGAAGTCTGAAATCCAGCAAACAGGAGGCTTATACATAAAAAAATCCCTCCTGATTAATTTGTTACAGAGAAAAGCTTTGTAACAATTTGCAGCATTAGCATGCTACAGTAAATTTCATGTTAAAATCTTAAAAACAACAAAAAGAAGAGAACATCCAGTTCCGTGCCTGATCCTCAAATCCATATGTTGGCCTATCTCAACTATGTCAAAGATGCAATGGCACTTCATACCGGTCGTAAACCTGGTCTGATGGGCTCCGTTCTGGATGATCAGGGAGCGAACAGGCATATAACTGAGCTGCACACTTGCTGTAAATTCAGTACAGATATAGCTGGACTTACTCTGTCATCTGAATTTTCCCCTCTCAGTGTTAACAACTCCAGCTATTCTGCATTTATGACATTAGCCTCAGAACTGTGCCATTTCAAAATAATAATAAATATAGAGTTCTTAGTAAGTCTGTATGTTTGAGTATTTAGCATTCAAGGTTTTCTGCTTTACAGCTGTGAGAGCTGGTAAGGTTTTGTTTTAAATGGAATTTGGCAATATCCACAACCAGAGTTAATAATACCAGATCTCAGATAACAAGAAGTTCCTGAAAGAGTATGTGAGCTGATAACACTGTAACTGCATTATTTAGAAACAAAACAAAAAAAGTAAAATTCTGCATTAGTGATTCTCATGAGTTGCTGTGGAAGTTAAGGAGAATTTTGCTTATGACCTTACTTAAAGAATGATTGGTTCAGAAATCTGTGTGTGAACTCCTGTGTGTTCTGTATAAAAGTTAATTTAAATAGCTATGACCACGGTTTCAAAGCATCTTTGGATGTTTCCAGATCTCCCCGAGTTACTTATCTATCTGTATTTCTGCAGAGAGGAGTGTGCATGATCAGGTATGAAGTGGCAGAATGCGGATCAGGTCTTTCCAAAAATATATGTTGTGATACTGCAGTGTCAAACCTCAGCTAATATACCTCATTTTTTCAGCAGGCTTTGTAAGCTTGGTCTCAGCACCATGTCAATGTGGCCATATGGCTTCTAGACTGGAGCTTCATTGTATCTCAGTGGTGTGGAGGCTAGGAAAGGAAAATGTGTGACTGTGAAAATGGATATTTGCAGGCATCTATATACATATACTTGCTATAAATTAGCACTGCAATAGGCGGGGAAGAACTAATCTTCCAGCTCCTTAGCAGGAGGCAGTTTCAGTTGGCTAACTTTGGGAGAGTGAGGGGTACAACATACCTATTTCATCCAATTTTCATAAATTGGTAGAACTGCAGTAGTTTAAAGCAATTAAGATGCTATGAACAGTTCTAAAATTAATTTATGATTTATTTGTCTCCAAATACACTTTCAGAAGAATTTATGCAATAATTCACTGACTGATGATTAAGGTATATCTGTGTAGAGTTATGTTTCTACTTTTCTCAAGGTTACTCCTCTGTAGTGCTGAATCTGGCTAATTTTGCTCTAATTTACATCCAGGTAAGTCTAGAGCAATTTCATAAAAGCAGAAACTTGGATCTTCTCTAAAAAAGGTAAGTGCGGTCCAGAAACAATTACTCTTGGTCAGCTTTAAGAGATTCCCATGTCAAACTAGGAGCTAATTTTTTTAACATTTATCAGTTTTCCATAAATGTATTTTTCTCTCCCTAGTCAGTTACTGGCGTGAGGGTACCACAACAGCTTTTCGCAGAAGATGAAGATAACATGAACCATTGGTTTCTTCCCATGATCATGACTTCAGTGTCCAACAAGATCAGAAAAAGTAATAGAAGAAAAATAGCAAGCCACTTTATTTGGTCTGTCTTTTTCTTTCTTTCTTTCTTTTTTTCTTTCTTTCTTTCCTTTCTTTCTTTCTTTTCTTTCTTTTCTTTCTTCTTTTTCTTTTCCCCCCCTATACCTAAGTTCTGGCATCTTGATTCCTTGAAGGATCACCAAAAACCAGGAAAGGATACAACCAGAAATGCCACAGCCAGGAGTCTTATTGAATTTTCCTCTCTTCTTGTCCAGGAGGAAAGGGCAGTGTTAACTTCATGAAAGATTGCTTCTCTGGAAAAACACTCCCAGCTGTAGCTTTGGGAAAACACCAAGGATATTTTCACTTGCAAATTCTATGCTTGAGAGAAGAAGAAACATAATCATGTTAAATTTAATAAAATGTTGGTAATATTGGTATATTTGGGATTTTATTGACTTTCTTCTAAAAAATAGATAATCCTTTATCAACAATACAGTTTGTCTAAAACTTAAAAGGGCTGCTTAGTTACTAGACTTAGGAGTTACTGTTTTACTGCTTCTTTTGGTTCCATTAGACAACTGAATTTAGGGATTTTTTTTTTAACTATAAATTCTCTGTTTTTATCAATTTGCTTCAGCATGGACTGCTGCTAGGTACAGTTTGTTCTAATTCTCTCATTCATCATTTACTCAACAACTATATCATCCATCCCAATCCTGTCAGCTATGATTTATTTTCATTTTTATTACTTCTTCTAAGTTTCTGGGGTTTTTTAAACCTTTTTTTATTAAGTGTGATTTTATTCTTCCTGTCCTTTCATGTCATTCTTGCTGTTGTCTTATGCAAATGCAAATTTTTAAAATATTTTAAATTTCTTTTCACTTATTTTTATAAGCCTTCTTGTTCTTTTGGATTAGACTTTTGGTTTGGCTTGTTTTTCTCATGGTTGCATCTCCAAAGGTGGTCAAAGATAATATCTTT